TAAGTTATATAGGTGAATAATTAATCTTTCAAAGCTTCATGATAGCTGCAAGTTAATTGTAATCCCGGGGGGGGAGGGGGGGGGGGTTGGACTTCAATTGGTGAAGGTTAGGTGATTGTCTTTGCACCTTTTAGGGTTCCAGATCTGCAATTTTGGTACATCTTAGGGTGTCACAAATCTAAAAGGACTTCCAGAGAGTATGCCAGTACTTCTTAGGGTGTTTTTGARKCAATGAGATACCCGAGATTATATATATGATGACAGTCAGAATGGGCAGTCGTAATTCAGAGATCATAAATAATGATACCTTTTAAGGATAAAAATTATTAGTTGTCATGCCAAACTGGATAGGACTCAGGTACCTCTTAATTAGCAGTTTCCGAAATTTCTTACGAGCATCCTCACCATTCTATATATTCCCCCCCCCCCTCCCCAGGTAGTAATCGAGATGTTTTACTCATGGCTCATATATGGTCGGTTGTAGGAATCTAGTAAAATCTTTCAAAATCATGAAGTATCAACTTTTTGAAGTTAATTAATTTTAGCATATTTYAACTTGAAGCATGACAACAACAGCAGCAACAGCAGCCATCATTGTACTTGGATGTCGCATAAATCCAGATGGCACAGCATCCGCAATGATGAAACACAGAGTACAGGAAGCAGCCAAAGTGTACCAGTCACTCTTAAATGACGACAAATCACACCCATGGGTGATATTCACTGGGTACCAGCCTCATGGTGATGATAATAAGGTAACATTAATTAAAGGTGTCATGAAAGAGCAGAGGTTTATATTAGCATATTAGCTACATTATTTTACTATGTTATAGGCACATTCTCCCCCCCCCCCTCCCCAATGAACCAGGATGATTTAATAAGATAATAATAATAATATTTAAGCAGGAGGCTCACATCACCAAGGTGTTTTTCAGAGAGGAAATTACCAAATTTAATTTTGAAAAGACTAACTCACTGAATAAACCATATCTATTTGYGCATGTATTGTATTCCAATTTAATTCAGAACACTCTTGAGAATACAATTTGTTGTTTGAGTTGTATCTATATTAATAAGTCCTATGTGCAATGTCGATAAACAAAGAAATCGTACTCTATAGGACACATGGTAGAGTGCAAACAATATATCCGTGAAACACTAATTACTAAAATTGTTCAAAATAGTGCTAGTTAAACAAAAGAAAACAATAGAATTAGCATAAAATAGCRTAAGTTAGTATAATACTAATATTTCAGATATAATGTTTGCACTCTAAGAAATGCAGATACATATATTATGCCAAAGGTAAAACGGTCTATTTCTTGAGCATGTAGCTAGCTTTCAGACTATAACATTAAACCATGAAATGTTTTTACTGCAGAAARCAACCGAGGCTAAAGCGATGTCTAGCTACAACGAGGAGGAAGGGCTTATTCCTGCAGATCATACTGTCCTSGAAGAGAAGGCTGAAACTACTGCTGGAAATGCCTACTGGTCTCGTGTGATTATTGATGATTTRGGAATTGAGGAAGTTCATGTGGTTACAAATGAGTTTCATGTAAAGAGATCTAAAGTCATTTTTGAACAGGTGATAATAACATTAATAATAATTAATTTATCAGGAAAGCTTAGGAGCTGCACACAACAGACCTGCATCACACAGCAGCCATGTTTGTTTCCCTTAAAAAGACCTTTTTCTACCCATTCTGAAGTGAAYGAGGCTAGCCAGACAAAGATCTGTTTCAGCCAACATGGCTTCTATGTGAAAGGCCTATAAGCCAATGAAAAGGAACTAAATATATATTCAACGCTTTCATATAATAAAGAGCATCAACTTTTAAATTAAAGAGTGCACAAAGGAACTCCATGGGTTATGTGCATTCTAGATATCGATAGCAGAGCAGYACTTGCATGTGATATCAAAGCATCTCAATTCTGGGGGACAAAACAAAGCAACTTAATTGGGACTCTACAAAGTACAATTTGGGATTTAATAAAATTGTACTCCTCTTGTCCAATCAAAACCAAGTAATTTTGTTGAGTGTATTATAAATAAATATATTTTTATGCTCTTGTAATAGCTTGACTGTTATATCTTTCAGCTATATCCATCAGAAACCTACAAGCTGTATTATCACGCTGCTGAGCAACAATTAGATGATGAAACCCAAAAAAGAAGCAGCGAGAGAGAAGAAAAACTTATGCATCAGATAGATTTTGACATTTCAGAGGTTGTCAGGAAGATCAAAGAATCACCAGATGGAAAGCCGATAACAATTTTAAATTCTCCCATCATCAGCGACGAGGTCTTCAATCATGGTTTCACTACAAGGTTTGGAGGAGTTTCTACCCATGAAACACTTTCTTCCTTAAATCTTGTTTAACCCAAAAAGATGAGACCCACTAGTTAATATAATGGAAAATAGACAACGCTTAGCACATGCATGCAAATACATGCCGCAAGGATTCCACATGGCAAAATGTGTACATGGTACAGGAGTTTGGGTGGTCGGTGATGAAGAACCTGATAGCTACGATGCCTTGGTCACTAACCAAGTATATGTTACTGTTGCTGCTCCTGGTGCCGATTGCACTATTGTGCTGTTCTGTGATCCTATCAATAAGGTATATAGATCTATATACATATATAACACGTGGCTCACAGTAGGGGGTTAGATATCCATTGTGGTACAATGTTTTCACATTTCAGACGTCATTCCCAAGAGTATCATTTCTTTGTTTAATGGCTGTGCATGAGAAGACACATGAATATGAATACAACTCAAACAAAGAATCTGATTCTAAAGATAATGAAATGTGGTCTGAAAATAATGGGAAAACATTGCACCACAAGGAAGAATAAGGTCTATGAGGGTCCTTGACAAGCTAGAGTATGCCGGGGTTGCTGAAGGCAATATTGCCCCACCCCACCCTCCAAAAACACAAATTCAGAGTATTCACCAAAGTCACATCATATCAATACAAAAACGTCTCTTCAGTAATCTTCTCTACCATCTATGAAAAAAATATTTGGATAATTAATATAAATATCATAATCATTAAATTAATATTTTTCTTGGAGATTTGTGGTGCTGCACATTCAGGCTGGAGAGGCACACTTGCCAAAATCAGCCATGCCGTCCTTGACGTCATGACYAAACGATTCTCATGTCAAATAAAGAACATTTATGTGGCTGTTGGGCCAAGCATAGGACCATGCTGTTTTGAGGTTGGCGAAGATGTTGCAGAACAGTTTGCTGGCATCAGTAAAGATGTAGTTGTGAGAAAGGAAAATGCACCAAAACCGTTTGTTGACCTGCRCAAGACAACGAGAATTCTTCTTGAAGAGTATGGAGTTAAACCAGAAAATATTGATGACAACACAAGGTATTCTCATAATGTAATAGGTCTCTATGCTGTCCAATTAAGAAATAGTTGAAGACATAAAATGCCAAGGAATGTCAAAATTGGACGAGGCCCTAGGCTTAATCCAATTTGGCTGTCAGAAATGTTACTTAATTGGAATTTTAGTGCTCAAACAAAGAATTGTTTTCTCAAAAGAATAATTTAACAAATGGTGTGAATTGTCATTGTGAAAACATTAAACCCAAACCAAAAGTCAGTGGTCAGGTCTGTAATGGTGCGTGCTTTTGCGTCTGCCATATATCAAACAGAATAATTTCATATTACTCTTTTTTGCTAATGTCTGTTTTGAATTTTTTTAGTAAAATAGATGGTGTTGAGGAAAGTCAACGTGTTACCCAATGTACATATTGTGACCAAGAGAAAAGGTTCTTCTCCTACAGAAGAGATGGTGCACAATATGGCACTCAGATTGGTTTTATATCTGCTGTAGCATCATCACAAAATAAAGATTCTAAAGGAAAATGTCGAGTAGCATGATTAGACCTATACAGCGCTTCCAGTAATATCATCTTCTCTGGGAAGATCTAAATAAAACCACAATAAAAATGATAATATAAAAATATAAACTTTTTCAAATTAAAAACATTGCAATTTGTATTGGAAATCACACAATCTTGAGTGCAATCCGAAATTTATGGGTATGGGGGAAAAATTTTTATTTTTAAGGTTTTGCAAAATCTGATTTGGACATACAATGTTATAGCCACTATACTTCAAATACTTCCATGTACTAAAAGATTCTTTGGCTCTGAATGTAATCAAGATTTATGCTATCCTTTAGGATGAGAAAGGGATCATTTCTCTGCATATTATTGACAAAATATAACCTATATGTTAAGTGTATGCTACATCGAGTGTATAAGCAGATTAAAAAATCTGCCTCAGTTGGGTTCTCGTCTAGCAAACGAGAGGTCAGTGGTTTGAGTCCTGYGAGAACCCAACTGAGGCAGATTTTTTAATCTGCTTATACACTCGATGTAGCATACACTTAACATTTAGATCTTTACTGAGTGACAAAAACACATTTCATAAAATATAATCTGTCAAAGAACAGTTAATATGCCATTTGCTAAAAAAATGGATTTGAGGATATAATTTGCAGATAAACTTAGTGAAAATAAATTTTAATAACAGTAACATTTTTATAACCTCTGGATAATTATTAATAACATTTAACATATAATAATCTCTAAAATATAATATCTATCAATGTTTGTACTATTCTTTGTGGTTGTTTTAGGGGACAAAATAGTTACTATATTGAAAAATATTGCGCCTAGGCAGCCCCACAATGCTAACTACCTAGTTTTTTTCTCAACCTCGGAACTAATATGYTTCAATATCCAATACTAGGTCTGAGTTAAGATCTTTCCTTGCAACTGTCTTGCACAACATGCTGACGACACAAATTGCTTTGAGAAATCGACCGTACAGCTTGCTTGCAATTGTAAATGGCAGCTAAAACTTGGCATAAGCATGTTGCGTGCAACTGATGTGAGGAAAGATTTCGACCTAACCAAACCTCAGGATTAATATCTATATGAAGCTTAACTTAGAAAAGTTTCTTGTCATAATATTAGCAATAAAATAAAAGTAAATTGGAGATATATCATTGTCTTTCTTTTGGGCCATCAAGTGGTAGTCAGTATCTCCTTACTGCAATAAGAGGAATACTGTAAATTACTAGAAGTGGGAAGGGTTGGCACTGGATGGCATTTAATATCCATTCTCTCTGTGGGGTACATTTAATGGGTGTTATAAAAGAATAAGTTCTGGAACTACCCATTAACCAATTAATGTTTTTTTAAAGGTAACAACCCCTCCCCCACATAAAACAATTATGGCTATTGGAYTGTTTAGTTAGGAAAATCACTGTCGTTATGGCCTTAAAGAAACTTGTTTGTTAAAGATTTGTCATGTGAAAAACAATATTCCTTGATGGGACAGGTGTTTTCTTAGTTTAAATACGATTTGCCACACTGTTTATGAAAAATGTTGCTCTAAATATTTGGTTCTTAAAAGGAATGGAAACGGCTTTTTATCCTATTGTGCAAGACATTTATAAGCTTACACAAAACAAATAGCTAATTTGAAACTTGTAAAATTTCAAATTTTCTTGACACTAGAAATTGCTTTACCATGTTATCATCTGATCATAAAACAAGGCATATCGAACTACACTATAATTTTATATGGCAGACAAATATTCACTTATGAACTCACTAAAGTTACATTTCGTCTTGTACCTTGTCDTAGATCAAAGCTTGCACAGCTCCACTAACTTGCTTCACAGCACTTGGCTTCTGTTCTAACACAGTATCAAGCTTTTCCAGTGCTTCATCTGATAGGCATTCCTCATCCTTATCAAATCTRACATCTGAAAATTTGTGGATTCCGTTTGTTACTACTACCTGCAGGTTAAGATGTTCAGAATCATCTTTGAGAAACTCAGATGGCAAATCCCCTAGGCATTCTTTTGTTGCATCATTAAGTATCTCAGAAGGCAAATCCTCTTGGCATTCAGGTGCTGAATCTTTGGGTGTCTCAGATGTCAAATCCTCTTGGCATTCTGTTGCTGCATCTTTGGGTCTCTCAGATGGCAAATCCTTCTGGCATTCTGGTACTGACGCTTTGGGTGCTTCAGATGGTMRATCCTCTTGACACTCTGGTGCTGCATCTATGGGTGTCTCAGATGTCAAATCCTCTTGGCATTCTGGTGCTGCATCTTTGGGTGTCTCGGATGGCAAATCCTCTTGGCATTCTATTACTGCATCTTTGGTTGTCTCAGATGTCAAATCCTCTTGGCATTC